GCGGTGCCTCTACCCAGCCCAAAGGCGGGGGCGCTGCGCCCTCCGCCCCGTCCTTGGCCGCCTCCGCGGCCAGCGCTGCTCGGCCGTCGCTCTCATCTACCTCCTGGCACTGGCCTGCGCTGGGGTCTATGTTGCCGCCTCTCCGACCGTCGACGCCTTTGCCGCCGCCTTCTTGGACGCGTCCTCAGCCCCCTGCGCATGCTACAGCGCCTCGATATTCTTGTTTGCCTCCTCGCGCGCGCGCCCACCTTGGGGCCTCCCCTGGGGCCCCCCCGCTTGCTCAGCTGCATCTGCACGGAGCGGTCTAGCAGGCCAACCTTGCCGATCGGCTTGTGCGAGCGCGGGCACGACGAGTCATGGCACCCCTTCCAGCTGGAGTTGCCCCAGCAGATAATGCGGCCGCTCGCTGGAGACTTGGGGCGGTGGTCGAGACTGCGGCCGTGCTCCTTGCGAGAAAGGGCGTGCCCAAGCAGGCCAGCGCCCCCTCGACCTCCTGCGGCCCCTCCTGCCGACCCCGCTGCATCGGGGCCCCCTGAGCCCGTCTTGCCCGCTTTGGGCCCGGGCCCGGGGTGGATGGGCTGCGGGGGGGGGGGGGGGGGGGGGCGCGTTGGAGCGGAAGGCGGCCTGCCACTGCGACCTCGCCAGCTTGTTGTGGTGCCTGACAATGCTGTCCGTCATAAAGTACTGGTCAGGCTCGTCCCAGAAGTAGGTGCGCGGCATCCGCAGCCAAGGCCGCGGGTCCCCGCTGCTGGTGGGGGACGCGCACGCGAACCTGATGCGGTCCCAAGTCGGGTTCTCGTCGCACCCTCTTCATTCGCAGCTCCTCGCACCAACGGCCGCATAGCTCCGCCCAGATGCCGAAGATGATGTTAGGGGGCCAAGCGTACTCCGCCTCGACATTGAGGCTGAGCAGGTGCTCGGCGGCCTTGATCTGCTGGTCGTAGTGCTCCTGGCCATAGAAGCAGGCCCGCGCCCACGACTCGCGATTGGCGTCTTGGAACTAGTGCTGGGGCGTGGACGCATGCCTCGGGCGCGTCTCCAACTTGTAGTCCTTCGGGGGCAGGTAGCCGTCCATGTCCGCCTCCGTCGTCCTCGGGAAGTTCGCGCAGCTGAGGCAGTAGTCCGGCAAGTGCAGGTGATCGCGCCCCCCATGCTGGAAAGCTGCGAAGCCGTGCGCGATGCTGTTGGAGATGTTGGCGGGGAACTCGATGGACCTGAAGAGCGGCCTCGAGTTCTGACCCGCGGACCTCAGCGCGTGGAAGGCATCCTTGCCAAGCAGTCCTGGGCACAACGTGACCGTGTAGTAGTCGCACCCCCTGGCCATGAATACTAGCTGCTCCTCCGCGCGCCCGACGCTGGCCAGCGTGCCCTTTGCTGCGCCGCCTGACTCCTCAGCGTGCTTGTTGGCCCTCCCCAGCTCGCGCACGAGGTTCTGCAGGCCAATGCCCACCTCAGACTCCGCCGCAGGCGCTGCCAGCACCCTCTCCCCCTGCGGCAGGGAGAGCGCGCCTGCGTGCCACTCCCTAGGGCGAGTCGCCCTCTCCACAAAGGAGGGTGACGTAGGCGGCGGAGTGTTCGAACTGGCTCCTCCTGATCCGTAGAACGTGCTTGGGTTGAAACCTGGGCGCGCCTCCGGCCGCGGTGGCGGCCTCTGCCCGAAGCCGAGGAAGCCCGGCCCCGGTGTAGGCAGAGTCGGGCCCGACTGGCCCTCAGGAGAAGCCCGTGCGGGGGCCGCCGGCCTCGGACCTCCCCCCGCCGTCTCGCAGCCCTCGTGCGGCGCGCGTGCTGGAGGGGGGAGCGGCGGCCCATCCGCTGCGCCCGGGCGCTGGCTGCCCTCGCCGCCCTCGAGCTCTCGACTCCAGAGGTCGCGGCACCCTCGGAGGAGACTGACGCCGACCTCGCTGACTCCTCCTCCACGCAGCGCGTCGGCCGCCTCGATGAGCTCCGCCAGTAGCTCGTGCTTGCCCATCCCGCTCTCCGCTGAGATGACCTCTCGAGCTGCGCCGTCAGCGAGGCCGTCGGCGCGCTTGGTGAGGTAGGCTGCAACGAGGATAGACCTCGGATCCTGGCTCCTCTGCTTCTCGTCCTGCGCCTGGGCTCTGCGCAACTTGTCATCGAAGTCATCGTGGGCGCCCTGTCGGGTAGGTGTAGCGCTGCGACTCCGTGACCGAGCCCGCTTGGCCATGAGATGCCGACTGCGATCCTTGCTCAGCACGATGGCCGATGCTGGGCTCATGGAGTCGCCGCGGTAGTTCGCGCCGCCCCCGTGGTCCGACAGGCGCGGCGCGGCGCGGGGCCGCCAGCGGATCGCGGGCGGCTGCGCCTCCACGAACTCGTCGAGCAGCTCGGGCCTAGGCGGGGCGAGGGCCCCATCCGAGACGGAAAAAGTCAGCCCCAAGCCCACCGCCTCCACGTCCGTACGAGGGCCGTCGCTCTTGCAGTTCTTCGTCGGGCCGACGAAGCGGGCGGGGAAGCTGCAGCGCGCGCCCCACTCTGATGCCCCCGCTGCCAGAGGGTCACGAACGTGAATGAGCCAGGTCGCGTCCGCCTCGGCCTTGGCTGGGCTGCCCTTGCGGCTAAAGGCCGCCGGCGCGCGACGGGCCACGCGCTCCTCGCTCCTCCACTCTGGCCTCGCACCTCCTGGGCGCTGGCCACCGCCCTCGCCCTCTCGATGGGGAGTCGCCGACCGGCTACGCCAGCCCACCGCGCGATCAGCCGCGTGAGCCGTGCACGGCGAGAAGCCGTCCTTCTCAACCGCGTGGGGGCGGCGGCGCTGTGAGCGCGCGCACCTCCGCCGAGCCGCCCGGCTCTCGTAGGCACCCGCGCGATGCACGCACGTGCGGAAAGTCCAGGTGCCAGCCTCCTCTTGCAGGTCACGGGTGTCCGAGACGGCTGCGTCCTCCACCAAGAGGACGACCGGGCTTCGCCTAGCAGTGTCCCTGCAGCACTGGGCGCTCAAGACCTGCGCGCCGCTCTCGGTGATGTAGGCCACCTGGTCGGCCTGGCAGACATCTACGCTGGGCTCCGACTCCGTCTCCGAGTTGGGGTCCGTCTCCTCGGCCTTGCCCGCCGGGTGCCCCGGCTTTGGGTGCCTCATCCTCTTCCGGGCGCAGCACTCGAATAGTCGCCCCACTGCCCTGCCCGCGCCCCGGCCTGCCCGAGCGCAGCAGAGCCTCCCGCCCACGCGGGCCCTGCCTGCGGGAGAGAGCTCGGCCACGTCCGCCACATTGATCGGGGGGCTGTGGGGCGCGACGCACGACGAGCAGATGTGCGCCATCGGCCTGTCCCCGGTGGGAAGCGGGCGCGGAGTAGTGGCGCACAGGTGGGCCATCCCGATGCCGTCGTCATCGCGGGTCGCCTCCAAGTCCGCCTTCAAGTGCCGATGCGAGCTCCCCTTCACCTCGCGAAACTTGTAGACGCACCCGTGGCGAGTGAGCTGGCCACTCTTAAGTGGGCCCTGCTCAAGCCTAGCCGCGGATCCTCCCGAGCGGACGATGAGGTCGTTGGGCATCATCTTCTCTGCCCCTCCTCCTCGGCCTCGGACCTCCTTATCGATGTCGTCTTCGCCAATCTCGAAGGACTCAGCTTCGCGTCGTGCCCTGACTTGTGGCCCTGCGCGAACCCTCTCATTGTGGTGGACAACAGCGCCAGGTATCTCCATGCTGACGAAGCCCAAGGCAGAAGCCCAGCACGGTGGCCATCGCGACCGCCGCCAGGGCCGTGGCAGCCCACTGCAGCCTGGCCCAGTAGGCCCCGAGCATGTACCGGCCCATGGAGTCCACCAGTCCCACGATGAAAGCGATGAGTTGGTGGAGGAGGGCGCCCAAGGCGTAGCCCATCCTCTCACCCAGCCACTTCAACGCAGCCTCGACTCCTGCGCTGACCGTCTCCCTGGAGAAGAACTGCGACCTCGACCCAGCGCCGGGGGAGGGGGCCTGCGGCTGCGGCGGCGCCTCGCCGACCCCAGTGGCGTTGGCAGCGTCGCCCGACCCTGGCGGGGGCGGGGGAGGGCTCTCCTCTGTGGCTCGCGCCAACTCCGCGGAGTTCTCCGGCTAGACTTCGTCCTGGGGCGGGGTCGGCCCCCTGGGCGTCTCCGTCTCCTCCTTCGCCAGGGAGCCTCCGAAAGGGGGCTCCGTCCTCGCCTCCGCTGGAAGGGCGTCGGCGTAGTAGTAGCCGTAGTAGCGGTAGTACTCCTGGTCGTTCCCGCTGCTCTCGGCTGAGCGCTCATCCGGACCGGCCATGGCTGGCGGCGGGTCCGTGACCAAGGGCTCGCTCGGGGCAGGGAGCGCTGCTGATGGAAGTGGCCTAGACGGCGCCTCCACCGCTAGCAGCTCGTCACTGTCCGTAGTGCTGCAGCTAGCTCCCCGCGTCTCCTCCGGCGAGGCCTGCTGCTCATCAGGGGCGCCATCTTCATCTGGTCGTGCCCGCTCATGGCCTCCCTCCTCGGGGCCCGCCATCGTGGCAGTCGCATGTACTGTCGCATACCAGCTCACGCCGAGCGACGAATCGAGCCAGGTGACCAGCGCCCCGACCGCCAGCGCGAGAGTACACTCGATGCTGTGAAGCGGCCTCATGACCTCCTCGTCGCGACGCCCCGCCAGACAGCGCCACAGCTGGGGCACCCGCGGGCGTCACGTCCGCGGCGGACCGCGGGGCTCCCCTCCGGAGCCCCCGCCCGCACTGGAGGGGGGACCTGGCCCAGCCACTACCCAGCACTCCTCGGAGTGCCCGTGCTATAGATCCGCCCGCTCACCCCAAAATCACTCGCGGCTCCGCAGGAGCCTTGAGCAAACGGCGGCGGAGGAGGACAGCAGGAGAGGAGGCTACGAGGCGGGAGGAAACCCACTGTTCTAACGAACGATCGCGAGGCGCCCTCCCCAAAATGCGGAGGGTGCCGCCTCGCTCGGCGAGGAAAACCCACGATTTCCAACGGAGACAAGACCCGTCGCTAATTCACGCCCCCTTGATCCATGTTTGCGATCGCCTGATGCTCTGAATGTGAGGAAAAGAAAGGGGGGGACGGTGGTGTACGAGGACGGGTCCTGGGGAAAGCGCTCTTCGGATCCCCGTCGGGGGCGCTGCGGGGCTGGCATCGCTGCTCTAGCCCCAAGCGAAAAGCGGACACCTGGCTCTGCATGCCGCTGCCTAGTAGGCACCGAGCAGAGTGTCCCGAAGGCCGAACTGTTAGCGTTCGGCCTGGTGCTTGAATGGACCTCGGGAAATGACGAGTTTGTGACCGACCACGCCAGTCTTGCCAGGCACTAGGACCAGACCCTTCGCTCCCCCTGTGCCAGTCGTCTCCTCCTCCTCCTCCTGCTCCTCCTCCTCCTCCTCCTCCTCCTTCATCTCCTCCTCCTCCACCACCTGCTCCTCTTCCCCTCCCCCCCCCCTCCCCCTCCCCCTCCCCTCCCCTCCCCCTCCTCCCTCCTCCTCCTCCTCCTCCCTCCTCCTCCTCCTCCTCCTCCTCCTCCTCCTCCTCCTCCTACTCTCCCTCTTCCTGATGCCAAAACCTCTGCCAGGCCAGAGCGCGACTTCGGCCACTCAGAGCGTGTCGTTGCTCGCGCCTCCGCTGGTGTGGCTGGGCTCGCGGCCGCCTCGCCGCCCCCCGGGCGGGCTGGGGGGAGGCCCTGAACGACTGCCCGGCGGGAGTGGGCGGGCGTCCTCCGTAGGGGGTGCGTCCGAATGCCCTCCCAGGGGTGCTCCTCCGTAGGGGGCGCGTCCGAATGCCCTCCCGAGGTTAGCAGGGTCCAGCCGCACACAGCCCCCAGGGCCCAGGCACGGCAATGGCCAGGCACGGCGGTACGCCGGATGCCCTCTGCGGAAACAGAAGGCAACACATTCAACCCCGAAAAAATCATCCCGACATGGGACGCACAGAGACATGCTAATACTACATGTCCGCCTTGGAGGCGCGCGACCGACCCGAACATATCTATATATACAAATAGCATACCCATCTTGTCGTGTATCTTTTCTCGAGCGGTGTGGCCAGAAATCGCACGCCACGACGCATATACAACAATATGTCTCGGTGCGCACGTCGCCCCTGGGGGGGCGACGCACACACGGTATAAGCATGTTGGGGCGACACCGGTCCCAGGGGTGTATCTTCGAAGCCACCCCTCTTTTTCTGGGCGGCCAGGCTTCTGGGCCAGAGATCGGGGACCGGGGGAGGGAGGTGCGAGGATTGAGGAGGAGGAGGGAGGAAGAGGAGGAGGAGAAGGAGGAAGAGGAGGAGGAGCAGGAGGAGGAGGAGGAGGAGAAGGAGGAGGAGGAGGAGGAAGGTGCCTCCCTGGGCGCCCTCGTCGCCGCGGGCTGGATCGGCCTCGAGGCTGTGGTCGCAACGCACGCCAGGAGGGGTCCAGGAGTCGATCCTCGCCGCGGGCTGGATCGGCCTCGAGGCTGTGGTCGCAACGCACGCCAGGAGGGGTCCAGGAGTCGATCCTCGAGGGGTAGGAAGCCCAGATGTCTGGCGTCAGGTAAGAAAGCGTGGCGGCCAATGTTCTCAAGCTTTGAGCCGTGGTGAGAGGCCGATGTGGATACGTTTGGGCCACATGGGGGGGGGTCGGGCGACTACATCAATATCCACCGCGTCCCGATGGCCAGAAATATCGGTTCCCTGGGCGGTGGGCACGAACCCCGTCCCGGTCTCGGAGCTGGAGGCGGGTCTCTGGCCCAGGGCCGCCAGTGCAAGCACCGAGTGGGGAGCACACGTGCACACAGTATGCAGTGCAGCCCAACGAGTAAGTCATGTCCGGGAGGGGGTCGCAGCGCCCCACTGGCAAGTGGACGACCACACAGAGTTTCCCCGTTGGTCGTCTCCGTCGTCGTTTCGTCATGGTGTCATTTTTCCTCATTACGAGAAAAGAACGCCCCGCGTCACTCACTCCTCCTCCTCCTCCTTCCTCCTCCCCCTCCTCCCTCGTCCTATCGTGACCGTCATCGTCATTGTCATCGTCATCGTTATCGTCATCATAACCATCACCATCACCATCACCATCACCGTCACCATCACCATCACAATCACCATCACCATCACCATCATCATCATCACCACCACCATCATCATTTTCATCATCAGCATCATCGTCGTCATCATCAGCAGCAACAGCAGCAGCAGCATCGTAATCCTCCTGCTCGCCGTCAAACATAATCATCAGCGTAATCATCCTAATCATCATCATCATCATCAGCATAATCTTCAGCATCATCATCAGCAGCAGCATCGTAATCACCATCATCATCATCATCAGCATCATCCTCATCATCATCATCATCATCATCCTCCTCCTCATCGTCATCAGCATCATCATCATCATCATCATCATCATCATCATCATCATCATCAACACCGTCACCAACATCCTCACCTTCATCCTCATCCTCGTCCTCATCCTCAGCACCGTCGTCATCATTATCAGCATCATCATTACTATCATCATCGTCATCAGCAGCAGCATCGTCATCAGCATCATCCTCATCCTCATCATCAACAGTCGTAGCCTCCTCCTGCTTATCAACATCATCATTAGCATCATCATCAACACCGTCAAAAACATCCTCAACCTCATCCTCATCCTCACCCTCATCCTCAGCACCATCATCATCATCAGCATCATCATTACTATTATTACTATCTGAATTATCATCATCATCATCATCAGTATCATCATCATCATCATCATCAGCATCATCATCAGCATCATCATCATCATCATCATCATCATCATCATCATCATCATCATCATCATCATCATCATCATCATCTCGGCGCACCCCTCAAACTGCCACACAATTCCAGGACACCATTCCTCCAGGGACAGTTGCCTCACGGTGGCCCTTTTTGTTTTGGGCGCGATCCCACACGACGCCTTGAGGAGTTCCTTTGGATCCCCTGGAAGCCCCACGGAGCCTCTGGGAGGAACGTCTCTGGACGGTGCCGGCGCTCCGAGCCGATTTCTTCACGGTGGCCCTGCAAAAGAAACCTCCAGACATCTTCAAGAGCTAAATTTGACGAAGGTTTCGAGGGGGGTCCACGAGACGCGTCCCGCGGGCTCGAGAAGATCGAACATACACAGATGGCAGCTATACATAAGAGGCCTCCTGGATGGGGTCCGAGTGGATGGGGTCGGAGGATCCGCCGATGCATCGCCGATGCATCGTCGATGCATCGGCGATCTTTGCGATGCATCGGCGTCGTCGCGCGTGGGGAAGAGCGGGATCCGCATCGCGCCGCATCGCCGATGCATCGGCGAATCGGCGCGATCCTTCGACCTCCTCTGCTCGAGCCCCATTTTGGGAGGCCTTGAATCCTGGGCTCTGGCATGGTGTATACGGTGGAGGCCCGTCCACAGTAGACCCTTCACAAGAGACCCAACCCTGAGACCCCAGAATGTCCCTTCATGTCTCGTGTGGGGACGTCGCGCACTCCACAGCAAGACCATACCCAAGAAACCCAGGGTACTCCAGATTTCGTAATAAAAGGGAGGGGGTCTCAACCCTCCCAGACGAAAAGTTTTAGACCCCCCCCGTGGGAGAACCCTCAAAAACATTGTCCCCAGACCCCCCCAGGCCCTCCAAGATAGCCTGGAAGAGACCCCCCCCGAAATGAGACCCCCCTCCCTTTTATTACGAAATCTGGAGTACCCGGGAGGCAAGCAGGAGGAGGAGGAGGAGGAGGAGGAGGAGGGGAGGGGAGGAGGAGGAGGAGGAGGAGAGAAGAGGAGGAGGGGGGGAGGAGGAGGAGGCGGAGGCGGAGGAGAAGGAGGAGGAGGAGGAGGGGGAGGAGGAGGGGAGGAGGAGGAGGAAGCAATGTCCTTAGAACACAAGGCCGATGTGTCAATACAAGACAGTCTCGGCCAGAAATGTTCAGGACGCTTCGCCACTGCTCGGCAACCCCCGAAGGGCGGCTAGACGGCCGCGGGGCTGGGCGCCCAGCGGACGCGGTACTCGACCGCAGGGGTCGCGCTGCCGCTGCCGCCGCCCACCACGCGGGTGCACAGGTGGGGGCTCCTCGGGCGGGCCCTGCGAAGCTGCAGGCGAGAGAGCCTCGTCCTCGTCCTCCTCATCCTCTTCCCCCTCCTCCTTCTACTGCTCTTTCTCCTCCTCCTCCTACTCCTACTCCTCCTGCTCCTCTTCCTCCGCATCCTCCTACTTCTCGCGCTACTACTAGTACTACTTGCTGTTATTCGTATCAAAATGTTGTTGTTGTCATTAATGTGTTGCATAATTACTGTTAGTATGAATGCTATCATTTGTAATATTATGTGTACGTTGATTCGTAGTAATACGACTACCCACAGCATTATAATTATTACTATCGATATTCGTACTAGTACTAGTGTTCTGACTTGTCTTGTCATCTCTCCTCCTCCTCTTCATACTCCTCATCCTCCTCATCCTCCTCCTTATCATCATCCTCATCCTCATCCTCATCATCATGATCATCATCATCATCATCATCACCATCATCATCAGTATCATCAGTATCATCACTATCGTCATATTCATGATCATCACCACCACTATCATCATCATCGCCATTGCCATCGTCATCAGCATCATCGTAATCATCATCAGCAGCATCAGCAGCAGTAACAGCATAATCAGCATCATAATAATAATCAGCATCATCGGCATCGTCACCATCATCATGAGCAGCAGCAGCAGTCGCAGCATATAAGCATCATAATCATCGTCAGCATCAGCAGCAACAGCATGATAATGAGCATCATCATCCTCATCCTCATCCTCATCATAATCCTCATCCTCGTCATCAGCATCGCCATCATCAGTATCAATGACAACCAACAACAACATCATCATCACCATTATCATCATCATCATCAGCATCAACATCATCAGCAATAGCCTGATCCGCATCCTCATCCTCGTCCTCATTCTCATCTTCATCCTAATCCTCCTCCTCCTCCTGCTCTCCTCCTCCCCCTCATGCGCCTAGCCTTCCTTCTCGTCCTCCAAATCTTACCCCCCTTCCTCCTCCTCCTCCTGCTCCTCCTCAGTCTCATCCTAATCCTACTCCTCCTCCTCCTCCTCCTCCTCCCCCTCGTCCTTCCCCTCGTCGTCCTCCCCTCCCCTCCTGGGTAGCCATCGCTGCCTTCACCCCCCCACCACATCGGCAGAGGGTCTGTATCAAATCGCCCGAGGGCCTGTACCGAGCGACCGACCGACCTCCCTACTCTTCCCCCTCCTCCTCCTCCTCCTCCTCCTCCTCCTCAACCTTCCCCACCTTGTCCTCCCCCTTTGTCCTTCTCCCATCCTCTGCGCCCAAAGGCACAAGATTCAGGCGTTGTCGTCCAACCAAGGCCACTTTATGGTAGCCCGTGGAGCTGTTTTGACCGGCGGGAGGGAGGCAAGGGAGGCTCTGGAAGGAGTGTCAAATGTTGTGGGCAAAGAGGGGGGGGCAGTCAGGAAGGTGTCCCGGCCCGGGGCCGCGGTTCCGGGTACCCTGTCTTTGCGTGTATGTATGTGTGTATGTATGTATGTGTGTATTTATATATACAGAGATGGGACATGCTGCGGTGTTTGCTATTCGAAATCTGCCCACTTGCCCCACTTGCCCCACTTGCTCAATTGGCCCCACTTGCGCCACTTGCCCCCGACCCTCGCGGGACCCGAAGCAAGTGGGGCAAGTGGGACCAAATGGTGCAGGCGAAGATCCCCACTCTTAAGTGCGCCTCTTGGTGCGTCTCGGAAAGCGGGCCTCCATGGGGCCTTGTCGCAGGTCCAGAGCCCACCAGGGAACCCACACGCGCTCCCGAAGGGGGAGCTCGAATCCACCAACATGCCCCTGGAGGTCCCCAAGGAGACCGCCGAGTTTTCAACATACCGTCCCCCGACACGGTTCCCATTTGGAAAAAAAACACGGAATCATGCTCGCTCCCGGAAGTACAAATAATGAATGTGTAATGTTTTTGTTATTTGTTGAATCTCTGTGGGCGGGCAGGATCCGATGTGTTATGGCCTCCGAGAAAATCGTGTTGAAAACTGGAGCGCGGGTCTCCATGCTTTCTTTGCTAATTTTTCTGGCCCTGGACGGCCCCAAGATGGCCTAAGCTGGCCTCCCAGATGCCTCCAAGACGGCCAATATGGCTTCCAAGACAGCTAAGATGGCTCCAAGATGCCTCCAAGATGGCCCAAGATGCACCCCAGACGGCCTAAGATGGCCTCGAGACGTCCCAAGACGGCCTCAGAGGCCTTCAGGAGGCCGCCAAGACGGCCCAGGAGGCCTCGAATAGGTCCTCCAGGAAGGCCCGAAGAGGTCTAAATCATTGATTTGCTTTATGTTTTGAAAGATTTGGGCATTTGCGCCTCGTCGGCCTTCCGACGGCCCAAAATGGCCCCAAAGGCCCCCAAGATCGCCCAAGAGGCCTCCATGATGGTCCCATGACGGCCCAAGAGGCCCCCAAAACGGCTCCAAGAGGGCCCCAAGACGACCCAAGAGGCCTCCAAGACGCCCAAGATGGTCTCCAAGACGGCCCTGAAGTTCCGAAAGGGCTCCAAGACGGCCCAGAGAGGCCCCCAAGACGGTTTCCGACGGCGTCAGACGGGCCAGGAAGGCCCTAAGACGGCCAAAGAGGCCTGCACGAAGCCCCCAAAGGCCCCCAAGAGGCCCAACGATGCATCCAAAAGGCCTCCAGGAGGCCACCAGGGAGCTCCCAGGGCCCCATTGGGGGTCCTCTTGGGGCTCTCTTGGGGGTCCCCTTCGGGCCCTCTTGCGGGTCCTCTTGGGGCCCTCTTTGTGGTCCTCTTGGGGCCCTCTTGGGAATCATCTTGGGGCCTTGTGGGGGTCCTCGTCGGGCCTCTTGGGGGTCTTCTTGGGGCCCTCTTGGAGGTCCTCTTGAGGGTCCTCTTGGATGTCCTTTTGGGGATCATCTTGGGGCCTTTTGGGGGTGCTCTTCGGGCCTCTTGGGGGTCCTCTTGGGGCCCTCTTGGGGGTCCTCTTGGGGACCTCTCGCGGGTCCTCTTGGGGCCATTGTTGTGGTTCTCTTTGGGGCCCTCTTGGGGGTCATCTTGGGGCCTCTTGGTCCTCTTGGTGCCCTCTTGCGGGCCCTCTTGGGGCCTCTTGGGGGTCCTCTTGGGGCGCTCTTCGTGATCCTTTTGGGGCCCGCTGGGGGGTCCTCTTGGGGGTCCTCTTGGGGCGCTCTTTGTGGTCCTCTCGGAACCCTCTTGGGGGTCATCTTGGGGCCTTTTCAGGGTCCTCTCCGGGCCTCTTGGGGGTCACAAGGAGTAGGAAGGGAGGGGAGGAGGAGGCAGCAAACAGGAAGGGGGCGCGAGAGGAGGCAGCAGAGCAGAAGGGAAGAAAGCACGGCAAAGGGGGCAAGGGAACTGCAAGCCAAATCAAACACTGAAACGTTATTGCGACGCGCGGAACTGCGTCCGAAGGTGGCCCGAACCACAACAGCGAAAGGACCGGACAGCGCATGTCAACATTGGGCGTCGAAGGCTTGTCGTGCTGCAATTAATCCGTCCAACGGCTGCGACCGCAAAGGGTCTCGCGCGCGCGCCATGTCGACAGCCGGCCTGGCCCAAAAAAACGCGCACTCGTACCTGCAGAACGCGATCATGGAAACCACCTCGAACCAGTCAGGACTGCACCGGGCCCCCGCCGACGGCAGCGCAGCGTGGACACAAGCCACGTCCAGAAATGCTCCACTGATACCGCGCTGGTCTGAACTGGCACGCCAGCCTCCCGCATGCTACGGGCGATGGCATTCCATTTCCAAAGTCCTTCCAGAAGCCTTTTCGTCACCCTCTCCCTCCGAGGCCTTGCGAGGGTCACGGGGCAAGTGGCCAGCGGCGCCGGCCATGCACACTTGGAGCATGCGGTACACCATGCACTACGTGTCCTGCATGGTCATCGGGTTGAGGCACTTGCACCATCAAAACCCACGATCCGTGATCTGGTGCTCCACTTGGCGGTGACCTCGCCGTCTGTCGGCCTTTTGCGAAAACATACTACGTCACCGACCTGGTACTCGCCAACCAAGTGTAGTTTTTCGGAGAGCGGCTCGTGCGGCCCCACTCGCGACGTCGTGCTCTGCGAACGCTTTTCTGGCAGAGGCGCGGATCGCAGCTTGGCGAGAAAACTCGTCAGCTCCGTCCTCGGCGACGGAACGCTTCTTCGTCGTCCAACTGACTTCCAGGCGCGCGAGGCATTCGTCCGAGCACCCACTGAGCATGCGCAAAACCACCAACTCGCGACATCTTGTCCCCACTGTCAACAACTTCCGACGCTGTCGGGATAACCGCGCAAAGACCGACGACATGTGTATCGTGCGCGACCATCTTGAAGATGTTATTCCAGAGTCCCCCGCGTCTCTCAGCGCGGCCGATCTGCACTGGGGATTCGACTTACATAGGCATCACGGAGGTCGACCCCTTCATTCTTAATCCATTACAAGCATACGCCTCGGTCGTGCAGACCACGACCCAAAAACGTTACCTTCGGTTTGCCTGTCCGCGCAGGCCAGCATTGTTGGAGCGCTGTGAGACTTGCTCGAGAAGATGGTGTTCCACCTTCTTGTCTGACAGAACCTGACGCGCTGAAACGTGGCCCCTGGCACGCGATGTTCAAGAATATATATATATATATACATATATGTATCCGTCGTCGTCTCTTCCTTCCGGACAGTCGATGCCAATCGCACGCTTGAAGCAGAATTCCCCTGGCTGAGCTACCTCGTGCGTCTGAGCGAACGGCGCGCGATGTTCACAACATACAAATATACAATTCTTCGCAAGAGATCCGAAACAGCTGGATCAGAACACGGTTCGGTACATGTCCAAATTGCCGAAGGAGCAGGCTGGCCGCGATCCTCGTGCGGAAAGGGATATTCAACCATGCCTTCCTCCTGGCCCCCATCGAGCTTCGGTTGTCCTGGTAGGTGAATCTGCTCCGAGATGTCTTGTTCCTCGTCGCGCTGGCGTTCCGCCGGCGCACTGGCGACGCCGTCATCGTCGATGATCGCGCCAATCTTGCCTTGACCTGT